TCCTTTGTGTACTTTGTAAATTTTTGTGGCAGTTGGTCATCATAATAATTTTCTCTCTCTGGCCTACTGGACATCCGTGGTCTTCCTTTGTCGAATAACTTACACTTTCATTTAAATCGTAAGTTTAAAGGCGGTTAGAAAAGGGTTATCTTCTTCTAGAAGAAGTTTTAAGAGGAATCAGACTTTTGAGGGGTTGAATTTTTGGCTCTTCCTCGAGGCCTTGAAAAGTCTGGACGGGCACGTGACCGAAACCGAATATAGAAGTGATTCATCCTTGGCTTCATTTGGCCTTGTTTTATCAGCGTCTTACTCACGCAACTCCCCCACAAGAGTGCATCTTGAGTTAAGGTATGAAATGCCTCTTCCTCGGCCATTCATGCGACTGGAAAAAGCCGTGAAATTCTGGAGATGTTCCCAGTACAACTGCGACAGACACTCAAAAATCATCCATCTGCCCCCACACTAGCCAGGGCATTGTGGGGAGGGCAACAAAAAAGCCAGCGAACATGGAACAAATTCTTCAGCGCTTCACCTGTAAAAACTACGTCCTAAAGCAGCGTACACAAAACTGCTGCCATTGTAAAATCTCCACCGAATGTTCTAGAAACGAGAAATCCAAGATGGTTCCCAAATTTTTCGATGAGCCGCGCGACTCCCGATCCTACAAAATGAATGGTCAGGACTTCTCCATTCACGTTTGGTGGCAACGCACAATAAACAAAACTGCTCGCCCCAGAAATACAGCTTCCAGAAAAAACAAACGATAAGATGATAAATGAAACAGCAGCAAAAAGAAGTAACAGTGTTAGAAATTGACCAGCATGGCGAATAAATTCTTCTGTAAATAATTTTTTCAATGTTCAGAAGCGTGTGGACAAGGAACCCGGTCTATCAACATGGCGAGGGGCACCCCTCTGTCGCGAACATGCCTCAGAAAACCTGCTTAAACCGGACTAAATTCGGTACTTACTCACCAAAACTTACCTTTCGATTGGAAGTGGAGAGCTCTAGTCTAAAATCCTAAAATTTCATGGAGGAAATTCAAGGTTCTGGTGTTAAAATCGTTACGGAAACTTGATGTTCTCCGTGAGTACAGATTGCGCCGCACATGCACCGTGCGCAATGCTGTCAATTTCTGCATTAACCCTGCAGCTCTCCAATACCTCGCCATCCGATTGGCTAATCAAGGCAGAAAATAATTATCTCTTTCTCGTGATTGGTCGCTTGTGAATCAATCTGAGCTCTGATTGGTCAATAAGGGTGTGTTCACACAGAAATACGAATTTGGGCGGTGCGCGCACCCCACCCCTGCTAAGTCACTTGGGAAACCCCGGCAAACAGAAATTTACCGGATGTGATCCTGACGTCACGAATTTCCCGCGAAAAAGTGTTTGCACGTTTATCAACTTTTCGCGCGCAACCAGAGTTCGGAGGGCAAGCGCCTTCCGGCAAAAAGTGCCGGGCAAACCAGTTTCCATCATTTCATCCATTTTATGACATTGTGACCGGTGGTATCAAAACAGAATAGTTGGTAAAGTGAACATGACTATTAAACTCAGGCACACAACTGAACAAAGTCAACAAAGTACCAGTAGTCATCGGTAAATATGCTCTGACTCACTTCTTGAAAAAAAAAAAAATTGTTTTTTTCCGTCCTATCAAAGGTGCTGACTGCTGTGTTGGATAAGTGCCAAAAGTTTCGTCATAGGTAGGGCGGATCCGGGCGAAGGCCACTGTACTAGTTGGTTGTGTCCCTGCATCTGTCTTCAAAAAAGAAGTCAAACCCAGTAGTTTTTTCTACTAGTAGTCTCTTAATAGTTATCAGTAGTTATATGTGTACTTATTACCTGTTTTTATACAAATGTTTCTTCTGTTCATGCAATTAGCCTTCGGGCATGAATTTGCAATAAAACTTTCCTTATTATACAGTATATACTGGCCTATACTGTGACAGCTTACACTTTATGTCCTTGGTCCCTTTAGCGGTTCAAGGTAAAGTTCCTAAGAAACTACACACCTTCTATATAATCGCATACCCAATAAGGACTGAAACAGTTTCTCTAGATAAGTTTTGTTTTTTTCAGATTTCAAGCACATACGATCTTTGATTCTCATCTAGCATAAATTAACATCATGAGCGGGTGGCCTTCTATTTAGTTTACCTGGGCTCCCATGGTCGCTCCTTAAGAATACAATAAAATAAATAATTGAAAAAAAAAAAAAACTTCTAGTGATCGAGCATTGGAGGTCCGTAAACCAATAAATAAGATTAAAACCAGGCTTCAATATGAAAAAAAGGGCTCTTAAAGGGATCCAATGTGATTTCAGGGCAGCAAAACTGGAACTTGATATTGTGAATAAGACAATCTTTGTGATATTGACACATGCTGCTTCACATTAGCTCATTTGAATCATTGTTTCATACTTTGGGCTTTTAAAACTGCAGAAACAAGCCCCAAGATGAGTCTTTTATTTTCTGGGTGGTACCCTAAGATCAGCCCAGGAACTTCCAGTGACCATTTCCCATCAGAATTTTGGTAATTTTTGCTCCATGAGGGTCAATATACACTGGGATACTGTTGTGTTAACTCAGTATGTAGAAAACTGAATATTGGCTTTGAGAAAACGGGTTTTCAAGCGCTACAAAACTGCAGCAAAGGCCCTTTAGGCTATTATAGTACATCTTTCATCTCAGGTGTCCATGTAGATGATGCACTAGTCACTCCAAGGCAGTCGTCGGAGACGATTCAGTGATAGAAACCATTATTGATTGGCCAAGAAAACGCAGCGGTTGCTACCAAGGACATTAACAGTTATATGATATGTGTCCATGGTTGTACCATGGAATATTACGGATGTGTCCCTATAAAGGAAGGCCTCCTAGCGACATGCACATAATTTGCAACAGAGCATGATCATCCTACCTGCCAAATCTCTAAATCAAATGTTCTTTCTTCCTCGATGACGTTGGTTGAAATATCACAGGTGAGCGGTTTTAGCCAAGAGTCTACCCTGCTTCGATCTGTAGGCCAACATGTACAAAACTTTGAGGTATGCCGGAAAACTTCGACCGCATTGGTGTACCGAAATTACAACGAGATATCTGAAAATAAAAGCTTTGAAAGGTTGACGAGATCGTGCCACCACTGCAGTATTAAAGGTGCACACCAGATGGCGCTAGAGCGTCGACCGCAACACGTTACACACATATAGCTTATTAGCTCCCAAGTGTCATGAGTGTGGTTCTTGATGTTTGATTTTGGTTGATGAACAGTAACGGTGTCAAACTGTGGGATGCGAATGTATCGAAATTTTGTTTATTGAGATTTACCATATTTGTTGAAGGATGGGCATAGGTGGCTATCATCTTGAAAACCAGGAGACCGGACTGTAAGGTTTAATTCCACAAGAAAGTACTAGTACCAAGGCCGTGTTCTTTTCCATAAGCGTTGTGGGTTCTTTAACGTGCTCGAGGTGTGGCTCTTCTCGATTAGGGGGTCATCAGAGAGGTTTCATCAGAGAGGACGTCCCCAGCCGAAGCTAGGTACTTATTTTCACCTGCGTCGCGTGAGGAAATAAGTTCACAAGAACACTGCACTAGGGCCTAGTCATACCCTCCAAGCAGAGGTTTGGGTTTTGCCTTATTTTTGGCGTGTTTTTTAGGCTTTTTCATTGGGGCTTCTTATTTGCATTTTTTTACGCCAACCCCATGAACTTTAAATAAGCCCAAAAAATCCAAACTTCTGCTTGGAGAGTAGCCTAGTCACGGGACCCAAACCCACAACTTTCAGACCCTCAACTCAAGACCACACTGCAACCATTTACGCCTAACTATTGCATCGTCGCCAGGCAAGCAAACTAAGCGGCGCGCTTTTGTTGACCCAGTTTGCCTTACGGTCTCCATAACAGGTTCTTTGTGCGGTGAGACATGAGATCCGCTCGCTGCACTTGACCCCCGTACGGCCTGCACACGCCATTCAAATCGGCTGATACCACCGGTCCGAGGCTTTGTTTAATACACGGTAGATGTACTTCAACTGACAGCTCCAGCTTTGTTACTAGTATACTGCACTTCTTGCCATTATTAGCTACTTGCCACATACTCCTTGCCATTTTTAGCTAACGTTGGCCACTTCTTGGTCGGTGTGTAGGGTACTTGTTTTGGGCAATGCGTATTTTATTTGGGTATTCATTATTTGAACGACTCCACGTTTTCGTTCAGGTTTGCATACAGATACAGATACAGATCGTTGTTTGTTATGTGTTTTGCGAACAGCAAGCAACACAGTCCAAAGTTACATCAACATCCTAACTTCTGAGGTACTAGGTGTTGAGTGCCATACGTACATTTTAATCACGGTCTGCCAGGAATTTACTAGCAACGTTGCACGTATAACTGTAGATCACTTTTGTGGTTGCCTTGTTCAGAATCATCAGTCAATTATTTCGCAAAGTTGGGAGAAAAGCAACAGTAATTTTCACTGGTAATGTTTGTGTTTCTAAAATCATCGGCCCAGCACACGCCTATCAAACTTTAAAATAAAGAATGACAAACGTTGAAAAGCTCACTGAAGTCACTCAAACACTCGAGCAAATATCCGACGAGAAAAGTATTTACATGTAGCTAGGTAGTTCTGCGACACCCCGGCTGGCGTATTGTTACCACGCCGTTTTATTTGTTTTCAATAACCCCGGCTAAAGTCCACCTTTCTTAAGATGTAACCGATCCCATGTCAACACAAAACTGCTCTCCAAGCAGAGGTTTGGGTTTTGGCTTATTTTTGGTGTGTTTATAGGCTTTTTTATCGGGCTTTCTTTTCTGCAATGGTATCTTTTTTTACGCTAACCCAAAAAAGACACCAGTGCCAAAAAGAAAGCTCGAAAAAAAGCCTAGAAACACGCCAAAAATAAGAAGCCCAAACCCAAACCTCTACTTGGAGAGTAACACAAAACCCAGAATGGGCACGTCCTGGCTCACTCCCTCCCAGTGCGCATGCGCGTTGCCGTGGCGACGACGGGAAGCCGAGAGGTGGGTCTATTCAGAGCAGTGCAAACACAAGCAGCTCACCTGTGTGTAAGGCCGGCCCACCATCGGAATTTTCCCGACAGTTAACCAGGGTAGGCGACCCGGCAGGTATATCACACAGCTCGGTGCGTGTTAGCTGAGGAAGGGTAAGCTACACTACTACAGTACCGTACGGGACGACATGACGACGACGTGCGGGGCGTACCACCTGGAAGCGCTGAGACGGCAGCAGGTGATCGACCGGAAACAACTGGCCCTGCAGCGGCTGGCACAGAAGGAGGTGAGTAGTTCTGCACACCTGTACGTGTACGGGCGGGCGGCACGCAGGTGCAAATCACGTACCGCGATCTTCTTTAAGTTTCATGCGTCGTAAACTGGTTCTAATCTGTTGTGGGCTAGCCTCCACCAGGCCTTTCTACGGGAATACGGATCATAGAATTCGGCAAAAAAGAGAGTAAAATTGGCCAAGGGAGTCCGGCCACGGGGAGGTAGTTTCGGCGAGTCAAACCTATACAAGGCGGCCAAACTCCCCTGGCAAATATTCTCCTATATATAAATATATAGCCAGCGTAGTTAGTCAGGTAGAGACTATCGTAAACTAGTTCTAATCTGTTGTGGGCCCAGTAGCAATCGTTCGTTGTACGATCGCAAATTTCGAACATATTTTTGGGGGATAGTCGTGCAAGTGTTCTGCAAAATTCTGCTGTCTTGTAGTTGTACGTGTCACGGGAAAGGCTGTCTTGTCACAGCCTTCCCGAAAATTCTACAGCATCAAAATCGATCGTGCGATGACCTACGAATAATGTTACCGAACCGTTAATACAGTAATGCAACCTCAACTAGAGAGGCCGACATTTGCTTGGGAGCAAATACAGCATATTTCAGTCCATCTCCCTCCCACGCAAAAGTGGACTATTCCAAACTTACCCCAGTGTAAAACTGGCAAAGATTCTCAAATAAATGAATTGTATAGTAGCTATGTAATTGAGAACAAAGATGCAAGAACAAGCACATTGAATCTCGAAAGCTTTACTAATCTTCTTACAGGTATGCAAATACTAACAATGATGAGATTTGATACATTTTGAAGGTCATAGGCACAAAAAATTGAATGTGTGGGTCATTCCGCACGACTTACGTGCAGTGTGACCTCAGGTAACCCGCAATGGAACGTGTTCCATGGATGGAACCGGCCATTCTTTAGATAGAACATGGAACGGGTACAGCACTTTTGGCCCTTTTTTTGCTGAAAATAGCCATTAAAGTCCCCCAAATGAGTCATTTGGAAGTGGTGTATGCCAAATATGTGACTGCTATTCTGTAGACACATGTTCAAGGTACCCTTATACCGAATTTCAGATAATTTGGTTGTAAAACCAGGGCTCAGGATCCAAAAAGCCATTTTTTGGCGAAAAATGCCCCAAAAAACCTTCATAAAAATTTTTCAAAGGCATGTATCAAAAAAATGAAAAAAACGCCTGGGGGTATTGGCCCCCTCTACCTCCATGCCAAATTTCAAGTCATTTGGCTGAATGATGGCGGAGTTGAATCCCTCTGACTGTGTGGCAGGAGGAGGAGAAGGAGGAGAAGAAGAAACATCAGAGAACACAATATATTTCATCCATACCATGGTATGGACTGAAATATAAATATCACTGATACTAAAAATTAAGGTGACCTGGTAGGACAGACAAACCGTACACAGGTGTACTCGGGTCAGGTACATGGCATGTTAGGAGCCTGGTGGGCACGTCTTGTTCCGTGAGTGACTGAGCAGACATGTTCCGACTCCCTACTTCAAGTTGCTACCTCTCTCCTCTAGTAGAAATCTATGTTGATGATTAGATTGTAGAAAAGCTAAATTTGCCTGGATAGGTTGAATAGCTAGTCAAGACTGGTATGAACGGAGAAAGACCGGTTGGACCTTGGAAGGGAGTTGCGTTATAATTTTCTGGCCGTTTAACTTTTCTTGAGCCTGTTTTTGCTATCATGCAACCGGTCTTTAGTGGGGGTCTAGCTCTTACACAACTATGCACTCGAGAGAAAAACAAAGTCTTTTATCCAGCGTTATAATTTTCTGCAAGTTTAACTTTTCTTACAGGCCCGTTTTTGCTATCCGGCATCGGCTCTTAGTCCGATGGAGCTAGACCACGCTAGCTCTTACACAACTACTAGTATCCACTCCAGAGTCCAGAGAAAGACAAAATCTTCTATTCTATCCATAGTTTTAGAAGCAGTGCACAAACCAATGATTGAGTACACTCCAGAACAATCCACACGCGATCTAAGCTTGCCCTGACACGACTAATTAATTGTATTACCAGCTCCTTTATCTACCATTTGCCCGGTCTTTGGTTATCGTTTTCAAAGATGGCCCCCGGCCTGGCCTGGCCTTTCCCAGATCCTAGCAACGCCTGATGAGTTAGCCTCTCGAGTCCAGCCGCCGAAATGGACGTAATCGTGCCTCAAATGACGTCCGGCCTCCAAAATCTCACCCATCCACTTGGATAAGCGGCCAATTATCTACTATTATAGGCACAGCAGGACCTAGGAGTTTATATATTCATAAACCTTTGGCGATCGACATCAGGAGTTTTTGGGCGTGCCCTGTATACTAGCCACCTCCGTGCGCGCGTCATAGATTACAATCGTTTACAAGGACTTGTCTACACCATTTTTATACGATCTAGCAGTGCACATTTGATTTGCAAGTATGGACTTTATCCGCACTCCCACAAATATTAAGGCACAAAGAGACCCACTCGTCGTAACCCACGAACCGTGAAAGTATAGCATCTTACATTACAGCGTTGTCAAAGTATAACAACAATACACAGGTGTGTGTTCTTTGTTCTATTTGACAACGATTGCGCCCATAAAAGTACAATTATCTTTAATCACGTCAGAACTAACGTCACAACGGAGCTATAGGTGTTCCGGAATGACCTAGGCTACAGATTCATTGTGTGTTGTCCAAACAGTGGAATCCGTGGCCAAACGAACACTAAAACGGCCCGCTAACTTCTGGTCTTTTCAGCCTAACACGACCGTGAACTGTCGTTTTTACCTCCAGGATGACAACAAAAACTTCCTTTTTAACGCCAGGCTGGAAAGATAACAGTTACTTAATGCGTGTGCCCTCGTTACAGAGCTCAGTTCACGGGCCAGTAGAACGGGGGCGTTTCGTTTGGAACGGGCTGCTCATAGCAACGCGTTTGTGGCATTGCGATGTACGGAAGAAACAAAATCATAGTCTAAAAGCCAAACTACTAGTATCTTTTCTGCCGACCTAAAAGTGTAAGTCATTGCGTCATAGTTTGATAAATAATGAAACAAAATGTCATAGTCTAATAGCTAGCCAAACTATCTTTTCTTCCGGCCTAAACTAAAGGTGTAGGTCAGTGCGTCATAGTTTAATTAACATTCTCTAAAGTTTTGTACAAAATAACTCGACGCCATCCACGTTCCTTGCATTGTGACTTCATGCGAAAAGAAAATTTCCCAACAAAAGCAGCATGTCGTCCGCCTAGTTCTTTCATCGTGTCAGGTGCCTTAAAAGTAGCCTCCACCAGGCCTTTCAACGGGAATACGGATCGTAGATTTCGGCAAAAAAGATAGTAAAATTGGCCAAGGGAGTCCGGCCACGGGGAGGTTGTTTCTTTCCCTCCTGCGCGGCCAGTCAAACTTACAAGGCGGTCAAACTCCCCTGGCAGATATTCTTCTACCTATAGCCAGCGTAGTTAGTTTGGTAGAGACTATTGTTCCGTCGTGTCAGGTGCATCAAAAGCACCTGTTCTCACCCCGACCCGCTAAATCTACCCTTTTTTATCGGGATTTCTTTTTTTTTTGCACTGTAATTTTTTTTTTACGTCAACCTCTGCTTAGAGAGAACAAAAAAGCAGCCTGTCGGTCGCCTAGTTCTCGTGTCAGGTGCCTTAAAAGCACCTGTTCTCACCCCGACCCGCTAAATCTACCCGAACGCCCCACTAGACACGAGCTATCGTCACCAATTACACGCACGTAGTCCTGGTGTTTAGACGGGCGAACCCGCTCAATTTCACCCGTATTTACCCCGCCGGGCTGGGAAGAAAGACCCCACTTGGTGAGCGCAAACAGGCCGGACACACCTTCAGACGTTTCACACATAAACTAGGACAGAAGTATGACACTTATAGGTGCTTCACGTCGCTTCTCTGCCTGCACAAATTAGCTCGCTGTCGAAAATCTCGCCCCCACGCCCACCCTTGTCTAAATAAAGATGGTAATCAGCGTTAAACAGACGTAACAACTGAAGACGTCATTCCCAAACGATGTAATGCATCACCATGGTAACAGCCCGCTCGTCATACAAAATTCTAAACCATGGTTTGGGTCTTCCGTTTTGTTACACGCCACTGGCCATCAAAGTAGTTGTCACAGTGAAATATTCCGTGTATAGAAAGGCCCCGCGCGTTCGGAATTCTGGCTCACAACGCTATAGAAACAGGTTGTCGATGGACCATTGTGCCGGGCACGAACAGCGTTCACATTGCATTAATTGGATCACAAAGGAGATGACAGGTATAATTTTTCCCTGGTGACAAAAGAACGACCGAATAAAAGGCCGGCTGTCTCTCACTGACATGTTCTGTTGCCATGGCGTCTCCATGGAGAATTTTCTGTGTTCCTGAACACAATATATTCTCAGCAACTCTGTGGGTATTTTTTTTATGACCCGATGTAAAAGTCTTGGATGTAAATACTAAAGTATGGACATAAATCTATCCTTTTGTAACATTTCATTTTGGGTCATTGAAACAGAAGATTGCAGTGTGTTTAATTCGACCTTTGTAGGTTTTATGAGATGTAATTAATTGGTGCAATTGATTAGTCTAATAGACTGTAAAGTACATACAACATCTGGAGAAATGACACACCCTTTTGAGATACTGAACCGAGGTTCATGTTAACAAAGTTAAAAACACCTAATTTCAAGGAATACAATGCAATGCTGCTTACTCTACAAAGAATGAACTGTCTGAGAGCAAGAGTTCATTGCACACAGCAATGCTACTATACTTCTAACAAAGTACAATGTATGTACTAAAAGTTTGTTCATAAATTGAGTGGCTATGTAAATATGAAAATAAAAACATTCACTGTAAATCAACCTTCTAGCCTCCATAGCATGCCAAAAGCTGGGCGTTTTGGGGGTCTTCAGGGTCTTTGGGAGCTTTTATCTGCTATTTTCTGATTGCACATACTAGACAACATAGCCGGCCTGGTTGAATTACCCCGTTTTGAGACCTGGGCTAATCAGAAAACAGCCGAAGACCACCAAACCCCCAGTTCTATAAGCCTGCTACGGAGGCTAACAACCTTCTGTGGCCTGACTTCCCTGGCGAATTTAACTCTTCTTTTGCCAAATTCTACAATCCGTATTCCCGTAGAATTTACAGGTGATTAGCTGCAGGGAAAACGAGCCGACACGCGGGGGTAATTACAGATTAGCCAGTCACAAAGCAGGTAATCATCTCTCCCCACGCTAGTAACGGGGCCAAACAACAATCGGCTGTCCCTCCAAGCAGGTCACTGATCACTCACAACAACCTACAGTCATTCAAAACAAGAGTACACCGGCATCTTCTTTCCACCACCAGGACTTCTACATGTAGCTAGAACCTTGCAGTTGCTGTAAACCAATGATTAGCCAGGAGTGTTGTTTCTATGTTACAACCCAGGCTATCTTTTACGTTAGCACATTATAGAAAAAATAAGGTCAGGTGAGTTTGACTCGGGTGTTTTCTACCCTCAGGTGTGCTAAGCCCACTTGGGTACGCCGTCGTCCATTTGTATTTCCATGGTGCATCTGCCCACACAGTAGATACAACACACAAACACTCCCAACAAAAACCTCCCCTGCGTTTCGCTATTTTGCCAGCATATAAAGTTTCGCAGCGCCGGGGTTGTAGTGTTTTTCCACAACACTCGATCCGGGCCCGCTTTGTACCTTCCTGAGTTAAAGATTCGGTTAAAGGTTCACTCCCGCCCTATTTGTTACACAAAGTGGGTGAAACTCCATCCCTAAGAAAACGTAGGAACGGCAGATTAGGTGATGAGAGGAGAGAGGGGTCCTGGGCGCGAACAAAACCCGGACATGGTCACCTTTGTGAAACAGGTCGCTGCTTCTGAAAGGCGGTGGCACGCACGCGTCAGGTGTCTGAAACATTAGGAGACTCTTACTAATTAAGTACCTGCCAGTGGTGCAGTGGCTATTACATTTGTATAGAGTGAGTAGGGTGTTTGCCTTGCATTTGCTAGGTCATGAGTTTTATAACCAGCCAAGCCATACCAAAGACTTTCAAACATACAATGTACATACTGTAATCTTTGCATAGCACCCAGCATTTGGGAAAGGGTATGGGAGTTTGAATTGTCTGTGAGCAAAGTGTCTAAAGTACCAATACATACCGGTATCCTCTACCAGGCTTTGGGAGGCAGCTGGAAAGAGTACTAGACAGATAACATGCCAGGGAAATTAGTCCACTAGATAGAGAGTACAGTTTGGGTATGGCAAACTGCGCTCTCTAGCAGACCAACTTCCCTGGCATGTTATCTCTCTATTACTCTTTCCAGCCACCTCCCAAAGCCTGGTAGAGGATACCAATACATTGTACAAATACATAGTACAATACACTGATACCAGGTTTCCCCTTAGAGTGTCACCTTCCTTTACATCCATTGTGTGTCCATGACTATCCTCAAGTCTTCATTCTCTTGTCTCTAAACCCCCCTGTCTGTCCCTCATGCTGCTGCTCCATAGTTTGGGATGTCCTGGGATAACCCTTTCAACCCTGACCTCCGACCTGATGTACTGCTCCAGGACGGCCAACCCTGGTCACCTGACATGACAGTAAGTCATCACAAGGTCATCATAACCTTCACAAGGTCATCATCACCTTCACAAGGTCATCATCACCTTCACGAGCTAGGTTGCTCCGATGTTCTTCATTCTTTCCCTCCATCTCTCCCAATCTTCCATAGCTCTAGCATCCTCAGCAGGCTACAACTGGGGCTTTTACATAGCCTCTACCAGGCTTCAGAGCAGCAAAGAGTAGAATAGCGAAATAGATGCCAGTGGAGTTGGTCTGGTAACAGAGTAAATTTGCTGCTCTGCTCTTTCCAGCTGCTTCTGAAGCCTTGTAGAGGATAGCTTTTATAATAAATGCACTTTTATTCTTTGCATAACACTTCATCTACTTGTACTCTGGTCCTAGTGTCTTGCCAAGTGGAGACCTGAGTACAAATAGAAGTGACGTATCATAAGAAAAAAAGTGCATGATAAAAGCAACCCAAAACAGCCCCAGTAAGCCTGCAAAGGAGGCTACTTGGCTCTGGGTAGATTTTCAGCACGCATCCTAACAGAGTAGACGAAGGTACATGTAGGTTGCACAAGTCTCTCTACTCTTGCCTCACCGTGACAGTCGTAAGTGATCTGTAAAAAAATAAAGAAAACATACATCATGTATTCACAAGTATTCACAATAATGTCTGAGGGATAAAGTAAAAGCAAGTAAAGCACACAACCATCGATCAACCTGCACTGCTAGTCACAGAAGATTTCTATCTCTCATGTTTTGGGTTAAAAGTGCAAGAAGGCAATAATTTCATTTGCATCATGAATGATGTAGGTTAATCCTCTTTTTAACTTGAGCCAACCCTCATCTTTCTTTTCATATGGCACTGATAGATACTAGAACCTAAGAACTAAAGCCAAGACTTGGAACATATCACAAAATGACAATATCTTTTCTGTTGGTGACAGATACGCATTTCCTTTCCATTTAGTCCGCTTGTTGAATATTAATTATGCATGGCAAGTCGCAATTCATAACTCATAGTGTACCTTCTGCACACAATAGAGTACTCTGGCCTGCCATCAAGTCCATTGTTCCTATTGTGTTAGAGTAATATGGTTTACAGAAGGCATCTCAATGGGCTACATTCTTCAAGCATAAATAATGTATGCCGTTTTTCTATGTAGGTGCAATGTCTCATTCAAAAAGACATAAGGACTCTTGCAAACTGAGAAAAAAGAATTTTCTTCTGCATGAGTAGCACCCAAAAACATTTGTCAGCCACAAATTCAAACACTATTCATAGTGAAAGACTAGTATGTTGTGTGATAGAAAATACTCAGTCTAGCGAAAAAATCTTGATCATTTGGAAGTACAAGTCTTTTGTACATGTATTAAGGAAAAGTGCAAAGATGACTTCAGAATAAGTGGGGCTTACACTACTAAAAAACTAGTTAAAACTGACTACTCAGGGGACCAATAAAATCTGGTCTATGTGGACAGGTGGTCAGTATAGACAGGATTCTTAATGCTTGTGTCAATGGGAAAATTATCTAAGGGACCAGAAGAAAGTGGTCACATTGGCCAGGTGGTCACTCGTACAGGTTTCATTGTTGTCAGTTATCCTCAACAGACATGAAGCAGGTTTGTACAGGCTTGACTGTATTAAAAAAGAAAAGAAAAAGGACAATTTATCTTTTGTGAGGATGGTGCCAATGATCATATTTAATGGAACCGGCCCTCTAACTAGGATGATGTTAAATGTTGAGAGGTGCTCCTGTTTCTTAGGAAAGCCGAAAGCCCTTCTTTCCTGAAATGGGAAAAATTATCAAAGGAATCACCAAAAAGTGGTCACATTGGCCCTTATTGGTGGTCATTATGAGATGGTCACTTGTGCAGGCTAACTATGTAAAAAGGATAATTTAGGTTTAGAGTGGAGTGTGGATAGCGCCAATGATCTTGTCCACAGAACTGTCCCTCTAACTAGGATGATGTTAAATATTGAGAGGTGCTCCTGTTTCCAGGAATGCCCCAAGCCCTTCTCTCCCGACATGGGCCGTCCCACCACAGCAGACATGATGCCCCAGGGGGGTCCCATGGATGGACAGGGGGGTCCCATGGACGCAGGACCCCCCGCGTTCGGCCCCCCTGGCAGCGGTGGCGGCTGCAACTCGCCCAGCGAGCTAGTCCAACCAGACAGCGGCATACACTGCGACCCCGGAGCGCCGAGGTTCATCGATGTTCCGAAAAGCGGGCGGATCGGTGGCGGAAGTCGGCTCGGGACACCCCCCTCGAGGGCAGGGACCGCGGCGCCGTTCAGCCCGAGGGTGGAGAGCGGGACGGGGTCAGCGGTGCCCTTCAGTCCCGTGATGGAGGACGGAGAAATGGGAGGGAGGGCGGATTCGCAGATGAGCGGCATGAGCGAACCGGTCGTACCGCCAGACCTACAACAGGCTGCCAGGGCAGCAGGAGCTGTTAGTTCAAGTTTACTTACTCCCTGCACCTTTCACCTTCACCAAAAGATGCACCAATTAAAAGTTTACTTCCTTGAATGCCTAAAAGGAGAACACCAAAGTAGCAAAACTTGATCACCTGAGTACTATGCACAGTTGCTGCTGGCAGATAATATTGCCCTGGAGCAGTTAGTTTCTGAACTTGCAGCACCTTCAATGCCTGAAAACATTTTTAGCAGTTTGCACCCACCAAGCCTAACTGGACAGTGCCAAAGTATCAAAACTTGATCACCAGCACTACTGGTACGGACAGCTGCTACTGGTATAATGCACTGGAGCTGTTAGACCAAGTTTTCTTACTCACAACAGCACCTGCAATGCCTGACAGAGTTGCACCAGTGTTACTCCCAGCACCTGCAATGCCTAGCAAAGAGATTTTTAGCAGTCTGCACCCATCAATCCTAACTGGACAGCATCAAAGCATCAACACTTCATCACCAGTATTATGGATGGTTGTTAGTTTGACTTTCGTTACTCCCTGCACCTTCAATGTCTGACAAAGAGAAGCACCAATTGAAAGTTACTCCATGCACAAGTCTGCACCTACCAATCCTGATAGAAGAAGCACCAAAGCATCAACACTCGATCACAAGTACTAGGGACAGTTGTTGCCGGCAGCTCTGCTCTGGAGCAGTTAGCTTTTCACCAGTCTGCATCCACTAAAGCCTGAGTGATAGGAGAAGCACCAAGGTGCATGCAAAGATGTGTAAAACATGTCAGCCATGCATCTCTCTCTCTTGTCCAATATGCCTTTCTTAAAGCACAGCAAATATCTTTGCCTTTCTGGATCAACCCTTAACAACAACCACTTTTTTATGGTTGATAAGCTGAATGAATAGAAACACAGAATCAATCATTAAATGGTACCACTAGCAGCAAAGTACAGTATCTGCACTGCCACATTCATGAATGCCATGAGCTTTGACAAGTGTGAACAGCTTCCCATACAAATGTCCCGTCTTGTCCCCCCTTGGTGTGAAGGCAGCAGAGGATTTGGACAGCCTGTTTGGTGACCTGTCTGTGGAAAAGGCAGTCCGATTTGCCTCACCTGCGGTAGGGCAAACAACATCAAACACCTTCTCACAACAGATGGCATGACTTGTGTACCTTTCACTGCATGATGCTGTGTCATTGTTTATCATAAGATTATCTTTTTTAGAACTTAATTATTACCTCCTTTTTCATTTTGATAACAGGTTCTTTTCAAGATTTCAAGAATGAATCTTGTTCTGAAAGAACTTTTTAAAGTTTACAACTTACATGTACATTAGAATCAGTCTCTAAGGATTCTTTCACACCAGCAACTTTTTGAGTTTATTTTTGTACACCCTATAATATGTCATTCAAGCCTTAACAAGATTCTGTACCATCACAAGTTTTTCTTCAATTTGTTACTCTCACTGAAAGAGTTGAACTCACCCACCATAGTCACTTGGAATGGAATGTCTTAACATTTTGCAAGAAATAAATTTGATGAATCTTTTGTTTCCATTTACAGTGTCGTCTTTCGTTACTTCAATTCATACACAGTCAAACCTGGCTAAGAAGACCACACATGGCCAATAAAATCTGTGTAGACAGATGGTCACTATAGACAGGTTATCGTATATATAGAGTTGGTCACTTGTACATGTTTGACTGTGAATATGATAGAATTATTATTATGATAATTCATAAACATGAGGTGATGATGAGGTACTAAATGTTTCTGTGTTGTTTGTCGTGCTGCGTTTGGAAGGGAGGAAACACAGTAGAGTTTGGTGATGGTGGAGGAGTAATGGAGAAACCCTGGAGCCCGTTGGTAGGGAAATGCTGTACCAGGATACTAATAACAGTACCCTCTGTTGAAACTTTGAAACTTTGAAACTTTATTAGAATAACCATTAGCGGTGGACCCTAGGGTCCACCGCTAGTCTTCCTGGTATTCATACATGTACATACAGACGATACATTATACAACATAGTGGACAACTGGTCAAGTCACAAACATATCTAAAACAATAACATATTTACAATATACATAATTTAAAAAAAACTGACAATCCTGTCGAACAGTGCTCATGACCTACTGATGGAGGTATTTGTGCAAACCCTCCTTAAAGACTCTCAGGGATTGTGTGGATTGCATAACAATTGGAAGGTTATTCCACACACTAACAGCACAAGACTTTACTTGATCAGTGAACAATGACTGCGCACACCTGCACTCAAACCATTTATACCTACATGTATATTATACATTTGTAGCTACATGTATAGGACGCGACTTGTGGTCTTCTATTTCAGCCTGCACAATTCCCTGTTCAACCGAAGTACATTCTGTTGCTTTAAATGTTTATATATTTGTTTGGCTGATACACAAAGTCAAGGGTTGCCCAACTAGCAAGTAGGGAGACTGGACTTGGAGAAATAAGAAATTGATAAACATAACCAGTAAAGTTTAATAGGTTAATGTTGATTCATACACAGTTGAATATTAATTGACAAGTCTTTTTGCCCAGAAATTACCAACCATTTCCATTTTGTAAGTGTTACTGGTAGACGTGTCTTATGTCAGAAAGGAAAGAACATATACACTCAGAACTCACCCTTGTCTGTTCTCCAGGCTGAGGAGCAGGCGCGCAGTGCTGAGCACGCAGCTCGGCTGGAGCGTCAGCGCCGGGAACGCATCGAAGCGAAACACCGCGCCCAGCAGGAGCACCTCGCGGCCCTGAGCGGCGGCGAGAAACGGAAATCTCACAAGAAGGATCGGTAGGTATTGGCTGACAAGAAAGGTCTGATATGACAATGACGCCTAGGTGCCTAATCTCCAAGCAGATGTTCAGGTGGCGCAAAATACAAGTATTATATCAAACTGGCCAGACTGTAACCATTAGCCATCCAACAATGGATACTGCCTGGCCAATTTGATACTGTATTTTGCGGCACCTGAACATCTGCTTGGAGATTATAGGTGCCATCCCATTTGTATTGCAGGGCTCCCATACTCGCTTTCTTCTTCTTCTCATTAATGCCCAACATCAATTTGTTTTAGGGAGGGAGTATGGTAGCACCGGCATACAAACAGGTATTGGCTGAGAAGAAAGGTCTGATATGATAGTCTGAGTGTCAGCCTTTTTAGCTTTCGTCTGCTCTCCATGATCCGCTACCGGACCAAAGCTAAAAAGGCTGACACTCAGGCTACTACTATGATTTTGTACGTCTATAAATAGTTTCAACAGTTTGGAAAGAGACTGATAAGAAGGCTCTTTATTGAACAACTAGTGGGTTTTCACATCTTATATTTCAGTGATCGTCTGTTACCTTGAAGGCAATGACTGACGAATCAGAACGAGTCATTGTTGCTCTATAGTAGATGACAGATGGTCAACAAATGAAGGATGTGAAAGCTACTGGTTGTTGAATAAAGAACCTTCTTATATTATCAAATGTACAATTTCAAAAGCAACATCTGGATGTGTATTGTCTTCAGCAGAAAGTTTGAAAAAGTTGGAAAAGTCTTTCCCCTTGTTGGTACCAGACTACCATATTTTTTGCAGGCCAAAACAACTGCACAAAGTCATTTATCTCAACTATATTTACAGTTGTAGGGATTTTTTTTTAATTTTGATTTTTTCATTCAAGAACTTTGTAACATAAGTTAGCACCACTGAACCTTGCTTGCCTGTGTTTGTGCCTAGGAGGGCAAAGTCAAAGGCAGACGGTGGACCAAAAACCCGCAAAGTTGTGTATAAGGAGGGACCCATAACCAGAACCCATCTTGTAGAGTACTAGCCTAGGTCAGGTGAGCATACCTGCCGAGTGGAAGCTTTGTGCTAGTGTATACAGAACCATGAACCGTGCAGGGTCCCTCCATTATAAGTAGCCTACATAGCATGCCAAAAACTGGGGGTTTTGGAGATCTTCATGGTCTTTGGGAGCTTTTATGTGCTGTTTTCTGATTGCATATAGACAGCATAGCCGGCCTGGTTGAATTACCCCCATTTTTAGAACTGGGCTAATCAGAAAACAGCCGAAGACCACCAAACCCCCAGTTCTATAAGCCTGCTACGGAGGCTACCTCCATAGTGCCTTGCTGTGATCTGCCTTGCCTACAGTCTGAAGTGGGCATACTTTTGTATTCGCTTTTGTTCAGCAATGTTTGATAGTGCAGAAACAATGCCATGTTGCCCGGTATTCGGACTGTTTTGTTATGTCGGTTAGCCTGTGATCTTTCATACATGCCTTTGGAAGAGTTACTAGAATAAGACTTTTCCTGCTCTGGTCAACCTTTCTGCATTCTCAGTGCCTTCTCCTTACACTTCATATTGTAACCGACATTAACATTTATCCTCTAGGTTTCATTTATCCACCACTTTGCAAAACAGTGTGTTTGAGAGATCTCTAGTGCATGCAACACCCCTATGTAGTATGCACTGTTTAGATACTAAGTATACAGGAGTGCATAATACTGGGAATGTTGTATTGGAGCTCTCTTTAGATGCATTTTTTTAGGGTGGTGGATATATGTGACTTGGCAGAATTTTGTAACTAGTAATATTAACTGATCATTACAGCTACCTCTCATGTACTAACAACCAATCTAACACTATGCTATAGCTCATCACCCAATCTTCGTAAGCTTATGGTGAGGTGAAATGTATCCAATCAATCAAAATCAAACCTATAAACCTTCATAATTCCTCATAATAACTTAACATAATCATCTCCTCTACAATCCAGCTGAAATGTATAAAAAACTCTCCATATATCTCCAATAAAATCAAAAATAGTCTGCTGCTGACCTCAAGCTGTCTTCTTCACTCCCTACCTCAGTCTGATAATTAAATGACTAAAATCCTAACAACTGTGGTAAGCTATTAAAAAAATCCATTTCAAACTAGTCTACCTCCTAAAATCCTTCCACCATTTTCCATCCAACTCCCAAATGCTCAATAATATTCTTGCCCTTTTTTAACTCCCTTCCTCTAATGATCAAATATTAAAATCCTACTGATTGTTACAAGCTACCAATTGCAAACTCTTCAATCCATCCAGCATTTTCCAGCCAACCCCCAAATCTTGTCCAGCTCTAACCCAGAAATTAACCTTCTCCCTGCTGCCTACCCCTGTACCCAATGCAAACTTGGTGTCAAGTGGCTTCCTTAGCACACTAAAGGTTAAAAACTGCCCGTTTTTTTGGGTTCTCCCCGACAGCCGAACCGACCACCTGACCCGCCAAGTCCTGTCTCTCACCCCCACCGACCAGAAACGACTCTACAGCGTTCTCAAAGAGGAAATGTCCAAATCTGCCGGGGCCAAACCGCATGCCCACAAAAAGTAACGTTAAACAACTCTACGGTTGTGAAATTATAAGCCAAATTACCATGTAGATGTGCCATCTGTACAAATAATCATCAATTTCATCATCACATATCAAGGAAAAATGTGTGACAATCATGACAAAACTTTTGTGTAATCATACCTTGAACGTAATGTACATAACTAAATGACAAACATTATCTATAATTGGAGTGGTTGGCTTGTAGTTGAGTGGAGTGTGCTTCTATGTCTTCTATAGCACAGAACTGTGACACTATTTCAGTGTTTTTTACTGTGAATAGTCCAATGATAGTCATATTTTTGCTGGGAAAATACACTAGGACAGAAATCAACTGTCAGTCTTATAAGAGGTTTCATTCTAATTGATGAACTTCTATGAACTTTAAAATTGTCATCAAAGCATTCAACCAATCAATCAAAATACATAGAAGATTAATAGCCACATAGCACAGGATACTTACAGATTTCTTAGGCCACACCAATTTACGTTCTCTGAAATCAAAAGCAGATCAAAATGACTTTATTCTGACTGCGTAAAACTGGAACAGTTTTCATTTTGTTCTTCAAGTAATCCAAGAACCAACAAGTCAAATTGGTGTGGCCTTACACAGTTTAGTACAACATAGGTAAGATAACTCTGCATCTTCCTGGCAAACACACAAAGATGTAGTCAGTACAGTAACTATAGACATTATGGCTCAAACAAACAAGACTAAGTAACGAACCAACAAATCAAATTGGTGTGGCCTTATTAATGTACAACATAGATGTCTAGTTGGCAAATTCATGAAGTAGACAGTAGTATACAGGCTAAAACAAACAACTTATGAATTACAAACCCATAACAAACAAACAAACAAACAAATAACGAACCGTGCTCACGGTGCCCTTGGTTGCAGCTACAGGACGACCCAGGACCGCACCGCTGGCGTTCACCCTGCCGTCATTCATGATCTGAAGAAGAAGGAAAAACTCCTGCGAAACAACAACCTCACCATGGGGCACTGGTCCGACTATGTCGACTAACTCTAGCAACATTCAACTACTGCTTCTGCAACTTGTCTACAACTGCTTCTGCAACATGTCAACTACTACTACTTCTGCTCTGCTTACGTAATTACATTGTGGTCACATGTACTGTAGGACATCACATATTCATATGATTTCGCTGTGGTAGTATTTGTGGCAAAGAACAAACCTCTGACAACAATCTCACCATGGGACACTGGTCTGACTATGTTGACTAACTCTTACATAACACAGCAACATGTCTACTACTGCTTCTGCTCTGCTAATGGTGTGGTCACATTTTACTGTAGGATGCCATACTATTCTCATGTGGTAGTACAAATTTTTTTCTCAGAAATTTTCAAGGAGGCTGTGACATGACAAACCTGTGACAAGAATCCCAGCCAGTCTTCTGCAAACATGAATTTTTTTGACACATGTATGACTATCCAAAGAAATTTCCATTTGTCATTGTATGATGATCCTACAATGTATGTGACTGAACCTTTACAAACTGCGTGACTTCTGCTGACACAGTAATGCTATCTTTTTGTACTTACCCTTCTGTCTGAAATATAATTCTCAAATATAACTCTGAAAGTATCACTTGTAATAAGCAAAGGAAAAAAAAAAACATTTTCAGTAAGCTACCAATGGGTACACATTAGACAAGCTGTATACAAATTATGAACATTGATTGTTACAACGACACTGAAAGAAAACTAAGTTCTGGAATGACTGTATTCACAAAGCCCACTCTTTCATCAACCATGTGTTAGCTATCCCGATTCTGATAATCTTTATACTGTATGTGAGTGGAAAAATCACAGAAAACAACAGTGAAATGTGACATTTATGATTGTTTTTCTTCTTGAATCTTGGGTGTGGGATAGAACCTCTTGTTGCCTATATGCTGCTAATCTGTATATACATGTAGGATGTGGTGTTCTCCAATCATGTTTGGATTTCACGTACATAGTCTAGAGAGGGAATGAAGTTTTAAGGGCTATGAAGTATTCTGTACATAGTTTGAATGGAGGTTGGCTACTTAATGTTGTTACAGAAAACTGAACATGTTGAAAAAGATGAATTAAACATTTTAGCTCACATGTGCAAGAGCTCATATATAAAGAAAACTTGAGGAAGTTACGTTCTTACTCTGTTTTTCAACATTAGGTGGCTAGCCTCTAGTTTAAAGTAAGACTGAGTAAAATGGCATTGTTTAGGACTTAGGAAACAAGCATGTTTTTGTTGCCAAGACCATATCAATGTCTGTTACAAGTAAGAGTAAGGATAAGTAAGTGATGGCATTCAATGTGCCTTCAACTGACCAAGAATCTATGCACTAAAGTTCTTGTGTACATTTGTAGTAAAAATTGTGATGTAGAGTAGAGGATACTGTTGTTACTGTTTTCAGGATGTCCGACACATACAGATGTGGTTTTGTCTCATCTTCTTCTCTTACTCTTTTCTCACTAGTGGTTCAATAAAAGCGCACCTGGTTGTGACAAATTCGTTTGGTTGAGTTTTTGTGTGTCTTGATCAATTTCTTTTGCTATGGATCTAGATCTTGAGTAATGAATGCTGTTTGGATAAGTGAAAGAAAGGCCAAAACCTTGGAAAAACTAAAGATTTCGGCCTTCATTCAAGAGAAGATATGCAATACAGAAGCAAACTTTAAAGGGACAGCTGTAACCAGTATTGTATACATGTAATGTTACACATCAGGGGTGACGCGGGTTGAAGGGCATGCGCACAAGTTGCTGGGTGAGAGACCTCAAAATTAAAATGAGCTAAAGAACTTTAAAACCCTTTCTTGGGTGGGATTTTTGTTGAATTCTTGGCATTTTTGTGGTGGGTTGTACAGTGTAGGGTTTTGAGTGAATGTTTTTGCAAAAAAAAATGAAGTTTTTCCATGAAATTGCCTTGTTATGGGCTTGTCTGTTGCCATACACCCCTCCTGCCTCCTGCCTTGGTATTGACCTAGAATATGGGGTCAAAGTGCACGAATTCTTATAAACAAGGCTGTACCTCGAGAATAGCCGACCACTTTTTTCCGAAACTTGTTGTAGGTACATATTATTAAATTGGCCAACACGTGAAGGTGAGTTTGTGTGACAAAAACTTCGTAAACTAGAGATATGATGCCCATTTTCATGTCTGATTTAGCATATGTTTCAATGGAGAACCCTTTCAGTGATGTCTCCCCATCACCACTCCAAGATGATTCCATAGCAATATGGTGCAAGTCTCTGAGGTTGCAGTATAACCCTTAACAGCAAGGGGGCAGGCATGTACAACAAGGGCAGGAGATGGTGGCAAAGATGACCAAGAAACGTGCCACAGAGAATAGGACTCCTCACAAAGTGATGCAGCAAGGTACAACAATAAGAAAAAATACATACGCATTCTCTATTAATGATTCTGTATTAAATCCAACAAATCAATGAATATATGTACATTTTGGTTGTTTGTCAGCAACTTTTTCTTGAAAGTCTTTTTTCCAAGGAAAAAAAAGTCTTTTTACTTTCCAACATCCGCTATTAATTACTATCCATACTATCTACATGATCCAATAAAACAACTCCAACCACTGAAGCAAGGGGAAATTTATCTCATGCAATTCAAATTTTTCCGAAGTAATCCGAACCTTCTCTATGAAGATTATAGCATAATCTTGATACAAGTAATACTGTGCAATCATAGCTACATGTATATTGTTTGCAGATAATCCTTCATATTAGCAGTATCTAACATCTGCTATAAACAGGAATACAACCATTGGCATACAGGTTTCTGATACAGAACGAATATGCCAAAGGCCCCAAAGCTCTTGAATAAGTTGAAGCCTCTTCAGCATTTCAACCAATGGAAATTAAAAGTCTTTGGCAACCAGTCCACCAATAACATATGTTTTGGGGAATGTAAACGATCCCCAAGATTGGTTTAGACGCTTCATCTCTGCTTTTTAAACTTTTTACGACAGTAGCAAACCTGACATCCTGTATCCCCATACCTGCCTGTTACTGTTAGTCTCTCCTCTTGTGTTTACCATGTTCGTGATGTCTACCTTCTGTGTCCTTCTCTCTCCTATCCTTACTGTCTGTGGAATCCTTCCTAGAGTACCTTCTCTCATGCCTGTCATCTTCTCTGTGGCTTTTCCTTCTCTTTCTGCGATCCTCTTCACTCGAGTAGTCCTTTCCACTTGTGCTGTGTTTACGTTTCTTCTTCTTCTTTCTTCCTGGAGAGTTATCATTACTACTGGCATCGTCACTGGAGTCTTCTCGAGACTTCTTCAAATGTTTCTTGTGCTTCTTCCTGTGTTTCTTCTTCTTCTTCCTGTGTCTTGAGGAATCTTCAGAGCTGGAGCTCTCTGAGTCTGAGGAGGAGGAGTCTAGGAGAGCCTTCAGCTGTTGTATCCTGTCTTCCTTTTCCTTCTCTTTGGTTTCCTGAAAGACAGAGCTGGTTATTCCACATGAAATGGACTTTATTGTTATATCACATGGCAGACTAATACTCAAATTATAAATAAAGCATCTTGTATGGAAAAGATCTCTGCCAAAAACATTTCCCACTGTGAGAGCTTGTAAAAACAAGAGAACAATGTACAATGTACATATACTGTAATTCCTGATTTTCTTCACTGTACTTTTAGGTTCTCTGTTTTCATGGTCACTTCTGTGTCGTGAACTTATCATTACAGTTATCAAATCATTTTTCTTGCCCCCCTCTCTGTACTTGCGGCTACTGTGAAGATTATGTTCTGTGAACATGTCTATTTTCCTCAGACTGTGAGATTTTGCTACCGTGAAGACAAAGTGAATTCCAGTAAGTACTGTACCTTGATGTAGCCATACATGGGGTCCTCATGTAAGACTCTGAACTGTTCGATCTGTGTGTTTCCACTGATGAACAGGGGACATTCACGGTCTCCTGTCCTGTTAACACAACCATGGCATACTAAGTTAGAACACATATACAATGTACATACAATCTGGACTAGCATGCCAGACTGTAGTGTGTCTTTGCAAGATACATACTCCCTGTACGATTTGGTCACACATGCAGCACAACCTCCACAAACCATGTCACACTTATACCGAATACACAGCCAACATACACCTGAGTAAAATTCGGGAAACAAATGCTTTTTTGGGTTGGTTAGAAAACACGAAATAAAAACTTTTCATCCAGTACCAGGCTTCAGAGACAAAGTAGAAATTGACAAAGTATACAGAAAACATGCCAGGGGAGTTAGTCTGCCAAAGAGTAGTTTGCCACCTTGAATCCTGTCAGGGACAAACTGTACTCCTCTCACAGATCTAGACTAACTCTGCTGGCTTGTTACATGTATCTGTCTGTGTATTTGGCGAATTAATACTACATGTATTTCCAGCCACCTCTGAAGCCTGGTACATAGCTGATATTGTCAACAAATCACACTACCAACCTGTGTCCGTAATTCTTACACCTCCAGCACTTCATGACCTTGACCTCCTTCCCGAGCGGCATCCAGAGCCCCTTGGTAGGAGCATGGGCCAGGAAGTCCCGCGCTCCCTGGTTCTGCGGCAGGTCTGGGATACAGTCTTCTGGCTTCTCCTCATTTTCTTTGATAAGACCTGAACAACAACAAACATCCTAGTAAAATGTTGAACTTTAGTCTGACACAAAGATTACACAGAGATCAAATTTTCAACAACCACTCCTTTGTAAGAAGTAACTGTAACTCTGAAGGGCGGTTATACTGGCTATACAGATACAGATGCTACATTTATTCTAGGCTGGCTACCAAACCTATTTCAGTTCACAAGTCTTTTATCCTCTATATTTCTGATTTCTGGAGAGGATAAAAGACTAGACTAGAAAGAGAGAAGGCCTTCCTGAAGCAGTGAACAAGCAGATGTACCTAGCCTTGAGAGTATGCGCTGAGAGACACTTTCAGCATTGCACAAGCACAAGGCATCAAGAGTTAAATACCTACTTGTAGAGAGACAATTTGACTCTGAACTGAACCAAGTGCAAACCAGCACCAAGAGACCACGTCTAGCGAGATATCAGACGAGGACAACAACAACAACAAAAGACTTGGGAGTAAAAATAGAATTAGTATTAAACCAGGCTACCACAATTCCTTAAAATAACAGTGTATGTAGTAACCTTACCTGGTGGTGCCTGCTCGTAGAACGTTGTGACATGTTTGCGCACCTCCACCACAGTCTTGTCTCTGTGTTTCTTCTTCTTCTCTTTCTTCTTCTCTTTGGGCATAATAAAAACCTGTTGTCACCTGAAAAGATGTAGAAAACATTTTGAATTCTATTTTGCACTATTCTCCGACATTATGAATGATAGCTCATATCAAAAGTCTACAGAAATTTTCTACTGCAACTTTTGCAAGCGCAAGTCAAAGCATAAAATTCCGACTGAAAGCTAGGAGGTCAAAATATTTGATGGTGGAAGCAAAAACAACACAGTGGAGCTGACATATACAGAAGAAAATATTAGCTAGTATTTCACTGAAAGCGTTGAAAAATAACCTGTTAGTAACATCAAGTGATGCACTGTACCTCTAACATACATTACAGACACTTACTTGTCCGAATGAGCCCCGAATATTTATTTGAAGAGCTGGGAACCACACACCCCCCAACTAAATTTCACTTCGCCTCCATTTTTGTAGGAATCTTCCAACACAGCGCACTTTAAGGGGAGTAGTATTCTAACATCTTTATATATAAATGTAACCTAAAAGTAACTGTATTAGCAATTTATTTTGCCGTGATCAAAATTAAATATTTTAAGATATAAAAATAAAGTAAAAATGTATACAAAAGAGATATCTGTGAAAATAAAAAATTCAAATGAGAGTCGATCCCCTCTTTTGTAGTGTAATCACCGATAGTGAAGCGGTCCAACTCACGCGAGATTTCCCAGTCCGGCGAGACTGCGCGAGAAGTCCGTTCAGTCAGACATTTTGGAAGAAGCAGGAAACACAACAGCTGACAACCTGACAGGATTATCGTCCGAAAATCGGCGCCATCTGCCCTCGTTACACGTCTTTCTCAATATAGGGGCTTTCTCAAGGACATACACCGTGGGAATTTGCAATCATCGCGTTCGGCAAGGCGAATTTCGTCAAGATGAGCTTCCTTTTGTAAGTATCATTTTCAAGTTCCCCTT